GGCCTCCGGCCTCTGGGCCTGTGGCTCGGTTCCCTCTGGCACAGCTGGCTGCTGGCATGAGCCAATGGGCACGCAACAGCAGCCCCCTCTAACTTCTGCTCCATGACTGCTGGGTGACCCCTCATCTGGGGCTCTCCTCAGCTCTTCCCAGGAAGGTGGCACAGATGCCCCCCCCCGGTGGTTCTCCTTGGGCTCTTGCACTCTGGGGCCTCTGGATGTCTGGAGCCTGGATCTCCTCCATGCATGCTTCATGCCCTGGGGGACAGTACCATGGCTCCACATACCCTCTAGCAGATGGTTACGTGGAGAAACCTTTAATACAAGTGCGCTCATCCACACAGGTGCGCGCACAGGTGTTCATAGACACAAACTACACCTTTCTTGGCTGCTACCTCAAATCACAATGTGCGCCGTCGGTCCTGCGTGCACAACAACATTCAATATTTAGTATTTACTGTTAGTTAGATTAATGCGATGGTGCTGTGTTTTTTATGTTACTCTCTTTTTTATTTGCTTGTTCTCTCTTTTGTCTCTCAACAGGTGATCCGGGAGATTTTTTTTGTTTTCTTTTTAATTCAAAGATCAGAAATTGGGTTTTCTTTTTTCCTTTTTTTTTTTTTTGCCATTTTCCACCTTTTTCTTCTACTCTTTTACAATTTAGTTATGCTGCAATATAATAATAATAATAATAATAATAATAATAATAAGGAAATATGCTGTTCGGTGATTTGCTTGCGTTAACGGTAAACATTAAGGCGTGTCCTCAGATAAGGTATCTATTTTATGCATGCTATTTTGTTTTTGTTTTACAAATAAAGGACGGCATTTTCAGTTTAAAAGTGAATATTTAGTGAGTAGGTTAGAAAGATAAAGGTTTTTCACACTTAAACATTGCATAAAGATTTATGTACGATCAGCAGCCTGTTTTTGGTTTGGTGCTTTCTCTTCAGTCTCGTAAGTGGGTCAGGAGCAGGCGCAGGGGGGCGGAGCAACGTCGGGCACTGTCCAGGAAGAAATTCTTGCGTAGGTATAAAACGATAGCAGTGTTTTGTGCGCAACATATTCTGCACACTGTGTGGTCTAAGCACCGAATTGTGAAGATGGCTGACGACAGAGATAAAGCTACTGACCAAATGAAGACATGGAAGGCGAATCGAGGTTCTCAGGTCTGTATATGCATTGGGTTATATCAAGTGATTTTACTCCGCGGTGGCTACCACAGTTGGAAATGGGTGAAAGGTCGTCCAGGGGTAACAGGCTAACTAAGAGCTAGCTTGTAGCTCATGTCCTGTAGTCTCTACATTAATGTTTTTAGTGTAGTTTTAGTCTTAAGTATTTATCATACAGTCGTATTTAGTCCTTTAAACTTTTTCACAGCCGTGAAAGAGACTTTAACCATGAAGATAAGAAGTGGGTCCAGGGTTATTTGTTTGAACTTCAACCCTCCTATCTATATATAACTAGGGCATATTAGAGTAAATTGCCGTTGTAAAGTAACCAAGTTCATGTCGCAGAATTGTTTTTATTCGTGCTGTTTTGAGCATGTTTGAGAGTCACGTAAAGACAAAAAGCATGCCGTCATAGCAGCTTCAAGTTTCAGCGTTATTGTTATGATAGTACACCTGCGAAACTGCACCATTGTATACACGTGTCACTTTTTTATGCTTAACGCAGTCTGCCTTTTTTAACTGCTTGTGCAACTTTGTCAATATCTTTGTTAGTTTCATAGATACTTTCTTTCAAAAGTGCCAGTTTTAAGTGTGTTCATTTAGACAATGAGTTATTATAACAGTTTAAGGCTCATGCAGGAGTAATGTCAAACACTGAAGATGATTTCATTGATTAATATGTTAAGCCACTTAGTATTTTGCACTGATTTTGTTTCTTCATTATAACCATAAGGTTAAAATTGCATTAAAGAAAGACCAGCTGTATTGCATTAGTCTTTGTTATAGTCTTACATCAAGATATATTTAATGCTTTCTGTTTTTGTGGGGGGGGTGGGGGGTTTTGTTGTCGTTGTTTTTTTATTTTATTATTATCCATCTGTTATCAGAAACCAGATGTGCTGACCACAGGCGGTGGCCATCCAGTGGGAGACAAATTGAACTTGCAGACTGCAGGACCAAGAGGGCCGCTGCTGGTTCAAGATGTAGTCTTCACAGATGAGATGGCCCACTTTGACCGTGAGCGAATCCCAGAGAGAGTGGTCCATGCCAAAGGGGCAGGTAAGGCATTGTGCTGTAGTCATGATGCTCTTTTTTTTCTATTTTTTTTTTTATCCGATTTGCTGTCCCTTTGTTATAGCAGTGCAAAAGTGCACACAAACTACTGCTGATCGTGTGTAAGAAAAGGTTAAAAAAATTGTTATTTATATTCGCTGACTAACAGGCTAACAAAAACGCTTTGCGTTCTTAAAGGAATATTTGTAATTAAGTAAAGAAAGCCAAACGTAAAAATTGTTGCCATTCAGGTCAATAGGATGGCTAGACATTTTATGCCAACACTTAGGGCTAAGCAGTATGGCCAGAAATAGTGTCCCACTATATTTATTTCATTTCGAGCCTCTCAATGGTTCTCGCACACAGTTTTGGTAAGTAACACTCTTTTAAGTCTTCCTGCTGGCAGTAAAAAAAATTAAAGGCTTCAATTAATTTATTCATTATCTATGGTCAACATCATTCAAAAATGTTTGTAATTTCTGACATCATTGTTTTTGTAGCAGTTATGACTGCTGCCATGCTTTTTGTTACACAATATTATTAGTCTTGTGCCTTTTGGTTGTTTCCACCTACATCCACAAATACAATGCTAAAATGACTCACCGTGGGATTAGCTCTATATTTATAAAGTCTTCAGACATGAATCATTTCTTAGTTCTAATGCCTGAAGTAGTAGGCAAATCATAGCTTGAGATCTAGACATCGACAATGCATTATTCAAAATGATAAAGTTTAATGGCTAGGACAACTTTTCAATTTGTTGGTGACAACACTTTGTACACTATGCAGTGTATTCTCAACACTGGCCATTTAATATGCACTAGAATGCCACAGATGCAGAGTTACTAAGGTACATATTCAGCACCTGGCACCAAAGACTCCCAGTGTTTAAAAGGTCTTAACAGCAGGCATGTGGTGCACTTATGTCTGAGATCAAGCATTGGTCTGATCCTTAACATTGGAAAGTGTTCAAATTTATGTGCAAATTTAGTCAAGAATTGTATTCTGGTGCAGGCAGATGGCTACAAATGACTGCATTAAATTACAAAGTTAAAACAAGACAACCAAAAAAATATGTATAAAAGGAAATGTGGATCCTGCTTATTTGTGGATTAACTCCGAACAATTGTTAATCTTTACAGGCTTTACAGATCAGGGCTTCAGACTTTGGACAGACATTGAACAAGTTATTTGTTGGCCTACTTTCAAGAGTCTTAGATTTATTCCCATGATAAATACAGTAAAAACTAGAACTCAAAATTTGTGAAGCTTATCTTAGCATACATGTCTTTTAAAATTTGTATTTATTTTCATTTTTTCTCCATTATTCAGGGGCGTTTGGCTACTTTGAGGTCACTCATGACATCACTCGCTACTGCAAAGCCAAAGTGTTTGAGCATGTTGGCAAGACTACACCAATTGCTGTCCGCTTCTCCACTGTGGGTAAGAACGACCATAAAGTCTGTGAAGGTTCTCAGTCATCCAGGTCATCGTAGTCAAAGGAGCTTGCAAGGAAAATCACAAGCGCATGGCACAACACAGAAGAGCCACCTCCACAGGACAAGACTCAGCAGTCCATCT